CAAAAAAGATAGAAAAATAGTAAGATTAGAAGAAGTTTTCAAGTCCAGGAGGTCCCTGGGACTCTGATCTGATCCTGCTGATGTCTGATTACTGCATGTTCACTGTACAACATACAATCTCAGCGGAATCAGTTTTTAAAAAGTTGTATTTAGTTAATGCACATTAAAATAGGCTAATGCGCATTAAGCATCACTTAAAAACCGCTGGTGCATGTGTTGGGGGTTTAGTCCTCATTATTTTATTCTGTGCTCCCTAAATTGAAATGGTGGAGAACAGAAGAAAACCCTGAAAAACTAAACCATTTCAATTTTTCCACCCTGTTATGGCAAGGGGCCCGATCCGTTTTTCTTTTTTTTTTTTTTTTTTTTTTTTTTTTTTGCAATTAGACCCTGAGCTGCAGGGGGCCCAGTCCTTTCCTCCATGGCAGTGCCCACCAGGCTAGCTGACTGGGTGCTGTCCCAGCTTAGAAGCAGCACCTGGCCCAATCTGACTCTTAGAATAAAGAGCTTTCAGTGCTGATACTGTGCAGCAAGTGGGGAGCCCTATGCATACACATCTGTAGGCTACCTTAGTCTGCCTGGCAGCAGTGCATAGGGCAGCCCTGACCGGCTACCCCAGATTGCCTTTGATCAGTCTGTGTTTCCCTGCAACACAATGTGGGAATTGCGAAGGGGATATGTTCTGCTCCCTGCTGAAACAGCAGAGTCCAAGGAGTGACACTGTTTTCCTGGACAGGAGAGGGGTGGATGCTGAAGGAAGCCCAGCATGTACAGACATCCACTATCTTAGGTTACCCAGGGTATTTTTCTCCTGGACTGGTCATTTTTGCTCTGGGAGAAAGATCCTGAACATCTTTACACTCATGATTTTCACCTGGGACAGCACCAACTCTCCTAGGAGAAACTGAATGTCTGTATGAGGCCTGTGTTAGAGGTGTTGTCCATATGTATTCCAGAATCTGTCTGCCTTTCCTGAAGTTATGGAATCTTTGGCAGTCTGGGTTCATTTTAATGAAGGAATGGGATTTTTGGTGAGCCTGCCCTTTATGCCGTTGTCAGTGACACAGGTACTGGAGTTTAGAAATATTCCAGTCTTGTACATAGGGGGAACATGTACCTTCCAAAATATAATTTAGTTAGGCAGTACAGCTTCAAGACCCACAGTTGTTGCATGATAAGTAACTTCTTTTTTGACCCAGAAGTTGGAAAGAGAGGAATGGATTGCTGTACGGGTACGCCTCTCCTGAAAAGCTACATGCAGTAAGTGTGCACATATATGTGTGTGAGACCATGATTCTGTGCATGGGTAAACCCTGTTGCTTTGTGGCCTCTCCCTACAGGTGAAATGGGACACTGAATATTTCTGTTATAAGTGCAGAATACTTATCTATTTTGTTAGTACAGTGTGAAGCACCTGAAAGAAATGTAAAGAGTGGTAGAAAAGTTGAAAGAGGAGAATACTTGATAAACGCAGTGAGGGAAGACTGTTAAGTGGGCTGGCTTTCAGGAGAGCAGAATGTTTGCATAAATTATGGGGGTTATAATGGCTATAGAAAAAGAAAGACTAGATATATTTAAACATTGCAGGAGGTACAGAAAATAACAGCAACTATCACCTTGATTTACTCGTGCGACTGACCATTCAGAAGAAAATCCTTATTTTTGCTCCCTAAAAGTATGGAGCAGTAAGCAAAATACAAACTGCCTTTTAGATTTTGACAATGTGCATGACAAGCTGCCAACTTTTATCAGTAGTCTATGACTGGGGTCAGCAGCCTACAGGTGGATCTAGCCTGTGAAGATCCATTCTGGCACAGGGGATCTGCAGCATGCAACCACACTATGCCACTCACGCCCTCTGTAGCACCCTCCCTGTTAGTCTCTTGTTCCCACACTTACCTTTATGGCAGAATTTGCTCCTCTTTGTTGCCACCGGGGACAGAGATAAGTGACAAACGCTTGGGCACTCTGGGGGGAGAAGACAGATTTGCAATTCACAGTACAAAAGCCTGTGGCAGTAAAAGGTTGTTGAGCCCTGGTCTGTGGGTTTTATTGTTAAGATGTGTTATTGGCAAATGAGTGTTGAAATATTGTTCATCAAGATGCAGGTTTGAGCAACTGCATAAAAAAAAAATGCTTTATGTTCTGTTATTTTATGAATCTCTGGTAAGAGTGTACAGAATTCTCACTTGTGTATTTTCTACAATCTTTTATGGATGCTTAGAAGTGAAAGATAGCAAATAAGTTGCCTCCTGAGAGGCATTCAAAAGTAAATTTTAAATAATGTTTTCTGGTTGCACAAGCTGTATACCTAATTTCTTATATACCCTGCAAAAATGTTTTCTCTTTTGCGTTAGTACGTGGTAGGCAATTATTTTGGCTGGGAGGTCACTTAATTAATTTTGGTGAGCTATCAAGGTCTGCACACAATCTTTTAGAAGATATCATTTTAACAAATTATAGATTTTAAAAAAATATTCTAAAATCAAACATCTACTATAACATTTTATTTCCAAAAATAATTTTTATCCTGATTTATGTGTTTGAGTAGTATATATAGAGGTGATTGCATAATATTTCAAAATAAAGTCTTACTCTTACATTGTGTGTGCTCATCGCACTGGGCAGAGTGTGTGGAAGGTGGCCTGGAGCTGGAGCTTCGTACAGTGGGGCAGAAGCCGCCTGGCTGCAGCTTCTCCCCTGCCTGACTGGGTGTGTAGTACCTGGCACATGTCCCCATGGCTTCCCCACATTACTTGCTGCCCAGAGCAGTGCAGCAGGGTAGGAGAAGGAGCTGCTAGAGGTCGGGGGGGAGCTGAGCAGTATCCAGGTGGCTGCAGCCACATCAGGAGCAGCCCCGCTGGAAAGCTGTATGCACAGACTGCCCCAGGTTGGAATAGGTAGGGCTCCGCCCTATGTGGAGCACTGCAGGGGCAGCTGCAGGCTGGATCTGGCCCATGGGCTGTTTTTTGCCTACCCCTGTATTAGTAGGATACTGTATAGGAACATATCTGAACAATTAGGTCAGGCAGGGGAGTGCAACAAGCAACCAAATGATAGGCACACCACTTGAATTATGAAAAGACGTTCTAGAACAGCTTCTGTTCTGTAATTCTAATTAAATGGAATGAGCTTGGAGAGGAGACAGTTGGGGAGGAAGGAGGATGTAAAAGTGAATTGATGAATGTATTAAACAGTTTCACTGTTTTATGCTGAACTGTGAAATTAATATAACGCATTTTCAAATTATTCCTATTAAGGAAAAATCCCAATTGTATACCCTATGATAATATAACAAAAATAATTTTGGGAAAGGCACACAAAGAAGGTACTCTTTTCTTTTGTGGCATGGCATCCCATCAGAGCATTGAGAAAATTGAGAGTAAAGAGGACACCTGTTCCTTTCTTCCCATAATAGTGATGCCACAAGTATTAAGCAAATACAGTATTTCTTTTGTTTTGCTTCTGTTTCTTATTTTCTTTTCCTTCCCATTGTGATATCCAGATGATGTGCCTGTCTGTTCTCTCTTATGTTCCTAATTAGGCAGGATGATCACAATTAAACTAGTAAATCTCAAACCCTTGGGGCAGAGGCCACTTCTTTGTATTGTGCAGCAGGAGCATGTTTGATACCATTTCAGTACCGTACCATTGAACCAGTATATTCCCATTAAGGTATATTGGAATGGAGCTGTTTCAATGAAACCAAAATTGTAGGCTGAAACAGACATGCATAATGGGGGGGGGGGAATAAAGGGAGATGATTTGGTTTCAAGAATGTTGAGGCTTTTGGTAAATAATCTGATTTAATCAGTAATATGGAAAATATCCTAAAATCTATATTTCTAGGAAGGTCATAGAATTTCCCAAGAGAATATTTTATATAGATTGTATTTTAACTTTTCTCAGTGTATACTTTTTTCATGTTCTTAGATGACAAGAAACACAACAGATTTGCACCTGAGCAAGATGAATATGGGTCAGAGGCAATGAGTGAAATCAATATTGTTGGACGAATCATCCTAAATATTTGGCGAATGATGAGACATGAGGTGAGAGAAAATAAAAATAGTTCTTTAAAAAAGTGTATTAAGAGGTAAAGATGGCTTTTGTTTTTAATTGCATTTGATTATCTCATGCTGCTGCTATTTGGATTTACATCCTGTTCTATGAAGGAAGCCTTTGGCAAAGTTTATGGTAGATTAGTGCTGTAATGCATGTTGTTTTACTCACAACTTGTATAGTTTTATGATGTTTTCACACACAACTGTTTATTGTTTAAGACATTCAAGGGATTCCATTTCAAACTGAAATATAAAATACTAAAATCCTTGTCTTTTACTTTTTAGCAATGTTTCTTAGTTATTTCTTGTAATTTCTTGATGTCCAAGATGAATTTTAGAGATTGCTAGTACAGTTCTTTCACTGACTGAAATATTTGAATTTGTTTTGCACTGTCAAATCTGCTCACTGTTTTGCTGTTCATATGTTACAGTTAGCCTTCTTGCAAAATCACTTTAACTTATTCCCTAATCAAATTCCAGTTTGGTAATTGTAATCAACTTAATTTTAACTATATTTTTCTTCTGGAGGAAAAAAAAAATCTCCCTTTCTGTCCTAAGTAGTAGTTTAGTTCCTGTGGACTGTAAAATGTTTAATGATTTTCTTGTAGGTAACTGCACTTTAGTAATAAATTCCTATTTGTAGTTCATAGATCTGAATAAATTTGTAAAAAGGTTTAGGATTCTTCTGAACTGAAACACTGTAATCACTGAATCATTATCACAAATATCTTGTTTTTCTAGGTGAATCTAACCAATTACGCTTTTGAAAATGTGGGTTTTCATGTTCTTCACCAGCGTTTTCCTCTGTTTACCTCTCGAGTTTTGTCTGATTGGTTTGACAACAAGACAGACATCTACAGGTAAACATCTGATTGATAATGCATTCCTATGGCAGTATTTTTAAGTAAATTTCTCAGCTTAAGGTGAATCTACCCTCAGACAGGAATATGGTGAAAAGATAACCAAGCTAGCCACTGGAACATGGAGCTCTGCGCAGACTGATTTGCCCTGGGGTTTTGTTTTGGTTTGTTTTTTTTGGGGGGGTGGTGTTCAACTGCACTGCAACCAGGAGTGTGGATCTCCCCCTAGTGTAATGTTGCTTTCCTTATGAAAAAGCAACCATGAGATACAGCATGCATTTATTTATTTATTTATTTATTGTATTTTATTCATGTTGAAGAAGTATAGGCTGCTATTTTTAAATCCTTCACATTTAATGTAGTAAGTGGCATTTACCAAAGACTTTTAACAAAGTATCCCTACTATTGAAGCTTTCTCTGTCTACTTCAGTTGACTAATATTTGACACAGCGTATCCACCAAGTCAGGCATTTGATAAAAAAAATAAACCTCTGAACTATAAAATGCATTCTTTTATAGTATAATATAAACTTGTGTACTTTAAATATTAAGTCTGATTAGGTGTTTGAGGCCTCATTGGACTAGATGGTATACAACATTTACTAGGATTTTTGACCCGTGATGTGTGTGTTATATAGGGTCAAAAGGGTATGTCTTTATATATGATCTATAGCAGTGCTTCTCAAACTATCTGATGTGGCAGAGCGGCAATTTTTTTTCCAGTGGGCCAGGGACTGGTGCCCGGTTCAGCCAGTGACAGCAACTGCGTGTAACAGTGCTACACAGATGTGTGACTGGCTGTTTCTTTCTCTTTCCTCATCTCACATGACGTGATGTCACCTGGAGTGTTGGAATGTACGAACTGCGGCGCTATGACATATCAATGTTATGCTTCTGAAAATATATTCCTTCTTTCCTGGCAACTCGCTGCAGACCAGCGAATATATTTCTTTCTTTCCGCGGACCACCTCTTTGAGAAGCACTGATCTATAGCACAGACCATAATACTAAAGTACTGACTTGATAATATGCCATAATGTTTCTATTTTGTTTCCTTTTATAACTCAACTACTTTTTGAAGGTGACTGTGCAATAAGTATTATTTTTAAATTTATAAACAAACATGCCATTCTGTAAACATACAAGGCTACCTCTGTACTTCATGGAGACTGTAGACATCAGTTTATAGCCAAACCACAGTTAGTTTTTACAAATGGACAAAACAAATATAGTAGTAATTAGCCAGGTTAATAGTGCCTGTCCTGTCCTCTCTACACAGAAGACTTTCTTGCCCTTGCTGAGAAGGAAAAGGAGACTGGAAAAAAGACTTCATCCTCCCACTGATTCACAAACTTCATAGCAATAAGAACAATTAAAGCAAACAGGAACAAAAGATTCTTTGGACTTAAGGTTTCTAAAAGTCCACTATTGAGTTAAAATTTTAATTTAGCCAGTTGGAAATGGGCCTCAAATTCTGTTTATGCATCTGTTCAGGATTTTTCAGGAAATATGTAATGAATATATAATCCTTTTAAAGATCCATGTGGGTGTGCACACGCAACTTAGAAAGAACGTTTAAAATCTCTTTCCATGTCCTCAACTTGCAGAGCCACAAACTTTCATATATTATAAAATAATTTTATAAGCATATCTTGTAGGAAACTCTGTTTTCCAGTCTGCAAACTTCATCTATAAATGCATGCAATTTGAGTAGATGGTGGCAGTCTTTGTACATGTGATTAGACTTCCTAGCTGGACTCTTCATAACCTATGTTCTCTTTAACAGATGGAAGATGGTTGATCATTACATTAGCCGGGTCCGTGGGAATCTCCAGTTGTTAGAACAGCTGGATTTGATTGGCAGAACCAGTGAAATGGCCAGGCTTTTTGGAATCCAATTTTTGCATGTATTAACGAGAGGTTCCCAGGTAAGATTAAAAACTTCCTTTATACTTCTCAAAAACATTGTGTGTGAAGTTTGTTTTACTTCTTTAGTAGTATATATTTACTTTTTTTCTTGTATACAAAGGATCATATTATACAACAGAAGATTTAAAATATTAAGTAAAAAATAATGAATTCAAATGCAAAATGAATCCATTGAACAGTCTGTGTAATAAGCATTTAACCAAAGTATATCCTTTTCACTGAATGCCTTCAGTGACCTATTGAATTTTGCTGTATAAGCTCAGGTAAGTATTTTAATGAACAGCTGCATGGACTGCAGCTCTATGGGCTGAAATTTTCCTGTTTTTGTCTTGGCCTGAAAACGAAAGCAAAAGTTTTTCAGAAGGATGGTTAAGCATACTCAGGAAGATTTGAGAGGCTAATCTTCTTGTGCAGAGATTTGTGGAATATATTTTACATTACATATTCTCATGAGGTAGAGCACTAAGAAAGATGTGCAACCAGAGGCCAGAGATTTGCTAGAGCGGGGGTGGGCAATTTTTTTGGCTGGGGGCGCCACTTAACAAGTTTTGGTGAGCTGTCAAAGGCTGCAAGCACCCTGCCCCCTGGTCACCATTTTAGGACCACAAGTCCCGCCACCTAATCTCTGACCTTTGCCACTGGAAGTCCCTCCCCTTACCTCTGGAAGTACTTCTTTTGCGAAGGGGGTTTGCCATATTAGAACCAAAAACAATAATTAAATGATGTACTAACAATCAAGCATCCGTAACATATTTTAATTTTATTTTTTTTAAATATTTTCATCCTGGTGTGTGTGTGTGTGTGTGTGTGTGTGTACACAAGTGTTTCCGTAATAGCTCAAAGTGAAGTCTTACTCTTGTATATTGTGGGGGTTTGTGGGTATGTGGGGGAAAATTTCGTTGTGGGGTTTGCAGGGGAGGGTTTGAGGGTATGGTGGGATATGCATGGGAGCCCCCTGTGCGCACCCCTCTGAGTCGGTCAGTACCTGCCCCCACCTTGCAACAGGCTGGAGCCCGCATGCCCTGTGGTGCCTCCCTGCCAGTGCCAACAGCGCACAGCCCCAGCACACCCTGTGCCTACTTCACACTGCCTGGCCATGGCACATCCTGCCACCCCTGACCATGCAGCGGAGTTGGGGTAGCTCCTTCAGGCTGCCACTGCTTCAGGCCCCAGCCCCGTGGTAGCAACGGAGACCAGCATACACAGAGCCTTGACTCCATGTGCATCCCCTCTGCTCCGGGTTTGCCCATCTGGGCTGAACAGCAGCAGCTGGGCAGAAACTGGTCCTCAGTGCAGGGGGAAAGCGGCCCCTGCCCCTCGCCACTGCCAGGCAGTTCTTGGTGCAGTCTCCTGCTGCCCTCTGTCTCCATCACTACCACCTCTGGGCTGCCCTGTGGCTGCTCTGCACTGTCACCATTGCCACGCTGGGCAGCCCAGAGGCAGTGGTGACAGAGGTGCAGGGCAGCCTGGTGTGGTGCGGGCTCCAGGTGGCTGCACCAAGACCTGCCTGGCAACAGCGAAGGAGAGAGGCCACTTTCCATCTGCACCAAGCAACAGTTTCTGTCCAACCGCTACTCAGCCCAGATGAGTAAGCTTGGAGCAGGTGCTGGGGCCCAGGCTCAGTAGCAGCAGTGCAGGAGAGAAACTGATCCTTAGCATGGGGTAAAAGCACGCCCACCACCACCCCAGGTACTTACTTGTGTAGCCGCCAGGAGCCCACACAGCGCTGCCCTTCATCTGCTGTGCTCTGCCACTGCTGCCTCACCGGGCAACCTGGAGGTGACAGTGACACAGCATATATGGAGGGCACCCCAGCACACCTATACCAGGAAGCTCCTATGGTGGCAAGGGGGAGGGGCTGCTTTTTACCCCACGCTGAGCAGGAGTTTCTCTCCTGCACTGCTGCTGCTGAGCCTAGGCAGGCAAACCCGGAGCAAGGGGGAGGGCGCACGGGGTCGGGGCTGTGCATGCTGGCCCCTGCCACTACCGTAGGGCTGGGGTCAGCAGTGGCGGGAG